AAGTGTTTAGTAAGACTATTAGATATTTCAGGCCCTAAATTTTTATCTTTCTTACGCTGCTAGACTGCTAATGCTTTTTTGTTATTTCATACTATAAATGCAAGGTTAAGAGGGAACAAATACCTCTAACAAATAGGGCTTAACAAATTTTGGACTCATTTCTCTGTTCTTCTCTTTAAGGACCTATCTCTTTGACCAAGATGAATGCTAGTATTTTCTTTTCATTCAATGAAGTCGCTGCAAACTCCAGCTACTTCTTTCTGCTTACCTAGATGCAACCATTTATCTGATTGCAAATGGGTAAATGTCCTGGTTTGAAAAGCAGAGCCCACCGTAGTCTTAACTTAGCTTGCTTCCCGTCTCTTTAGCTTTAGAAAAAAGCTAGTCAACTTCAGTTGTTCTTGTAACAATTCAATGATTAATATATTTTATTCAGTTTCTACATTTGTTTTTGGTAAACTGATGTTTGGCAGGGTTTTTAAAAAATTATTGTTTTTTTAGATAGTTTTTGTTAATATAAGTACATTCCCATTTAGTGTTCATTCTAAAAGAAAATTTTTAGAATGCATATTGAATTTTATAAAATATTTTTCTGCTCTGAATATAAAACCATTTTTCCTTCTCTAAAATATTTTCTTGTGTTATGGCATATTTCCATTTCTGGCATATTTCCAGCTCAAATTATATAATGTATTTTAAATACATTATTTTATTGATTATCTAAATTTATGTTTTTTAGAAAAAACTTCTTGATCCTAAGAAGATTGGCTAAATTTCTATTCATTGTTATATGCTCACCAGATTTCAGTAGCTAGGTTTTGGTAGTTTCAAAAAATAAGTTGAGTAATTTTTCCTGTTTTTCTTTTCTCATCATCTATATGGCATAAGAGAGGAGATAAAGACTTGGGAGTAATTTTGTTTGAGTCTGTGTGAGCAAATCTTCCTCCTTTGTTGTAGTTTTAAATGTCTGTTGGTTTAGTATGATTTTGTTTCCTCTTGAATAGATTTTCCCCTTTTATTTTTTCTTATATATATCCACTTCACCTAAGCCTTTGTTCCTAAATGATGTATTTCTAGTCTCTTGTTCTTCCTCCTTGTTTCTTCCTAGTCTGGTTATCTCTTATTATATGGCTTAAATGTTTATAAAAATAAGTAATGTATAGATGAATAGTTTTGATCCAATCATAGTTCCTCTGCCAATTATTCCTTGACATTGTGAGATCTAGACTGTTTTGCCTAGAGGTAATGACTGCTACTAATTAGTGATAATTATTTGTCACTAGGCTAAGAATATTATAGTTATTACTGCCTGCAAGGTTTAAGTTCATTTATGAAATAGAAATTGTTAGTACTTTACATATGAAGGCAACTGAGGCTTGGAGAACTTGAGTAGGTTGCTTGGAAAAATTAAGTAGTTTGGTGGATGTCACAGACAAAATTATAAGATGATCCTGGAAATTCCCATGTACTGTTGTATGCGCCCTGTAAAATCTCCTCCACTTGTGTGTGAGTGAAACTGTATAAATACGATATTTCTTCCATGATTACATTATATGCAAAAAGAGATTTTACAATGTAATTAAGGCCCCCAATAAGTGACTTTCATTTAATCAAACCTGGTTGTCCTAGATGGGGCTGCCCTAGTTAGATGGGCCTTTAACAACACTTAACAGCAAAGATTCTCCTCTTGTCCTTAAAAACAAAACAAACTGGCATGCTGTGAGAGGAGGAGGCCCTGTGTCAAAAGCCTGTGAGTACCTTCTAAATGCTGAGAGTAGTCCTTACCTGGTAGCTACCAAGAACAAGAGACCTAAGTCCTACAAGCAGAATGAAATGAATCCTGCTGCAATCATTGAACTTGGAAGAGAACTCTACTTCCCTGATTGAGACCACATCCAAGTCAATACCTTGATTTCAGCGTGGTGAGACCCCAAGCAAAGGATTTAGGTAACTCACACTTGCACACTAACTTATTGAAACTTTGAGACAGTACATTTATGTTGTTTTAAGACACTACATTTGTAGTAATTTGTTAGGCAGTAAGAGAAAACTAATGTACTAAATGTCTAGAGATTTAATAAGCAGCAGAGATAGTGTTCAAACATAATCTCTTAACTTCAAAATCCATCGTCACAATTATGCTGTCTATCTTACTTTAATACATTTGTTACTGATAAAAATTCAAAATATCTGTCTGTTGATCTGAAAAAGTGAACTACTATAGAGTTTATGCAATTACAGCTGTCAAACTTGACAGCTTTGTCTTTATTTTCGTTCTCACTGGTTGCAGAGTTCAAAATACTAGACCTGTCTTTTTATAGTCTTCTGTCTTTTCTGTCTCATGCATATTTTCAAACTACATAAACTGTTTTATCTAAATTTGGTAGGAAGAGTAATGTCTAATTTGTAGTGAGAGGTAACAAAATTATAAGGATCTAAATTAATAAATCATGCAAACCTTTACTCCTTTTGGTAAATACATTTTAATGATATTGTCCTCTATCAAAACTGGTTCAAAATGTGCTTTCAAAAATAGTATTTTACTTTAATATGTGGTTACTGTACTGAACAGTGCAAATTTAAATAACAGTTATTTTAAATTACTGGAATTAATTATTCAGTGTTGAATGAGAAACGGTTTTGCAGTAAGAATGTGTAAATTCAGGAAAATGCTTTTGAATCAAGTAAGACACTGATGAATAAAAATTCTTGAACTGTGGGTTATTTTCGGTTGCTACTCTTTCTTCATATCTACGTTTTTAAATATTTAATTTTAAAATTCAGTTTTCTTCATCCTTTCGTGTTTTTTCTTGGTACATATTTCATCTTATCTGGAGGTTACTGAGCCTGATACTTTAATAATAATGATACCCTGAAATTGATAATGTTCTACTAATTATCAAATTACCAAGAATACTAATAATTATTAGCTTTTAACAAATATATAGATTTAATAGAAAAAGTTGATTTACTTTTTGACTCACTAAATTTGTTTCAAGCTATTATTGAGGCATCAAAATAAAACCCAGCAGTGTGCTTATGCTTTTGTCTCTACAGAAATAATGTATACCCTTTAATATGTGAAATTTCAGAACATAGCTAATGGGCATGTTCCAAAGATTTTCTGCATATGCCATTTATGCTACTGAGTGGGATGATTTTTTCCCATTCACCACAGCTGATGTTGTCTTGACTATTGTAGAATTGCTTTCATTTTAAATAGCATATTCATTAAACAAAATATAATCATTATATTAAATTTTTATGTATTCTTTTAATGTTTACAAAAAAGAAACAAATAAGCTAAATGCAATCAATGAAAACTGTAAATGTTACCATACTCATGGAAGAAGTTAACAATGTAGGGAGCACAGTACATGAAAAAAATGCTGCTACAATCCAGCAAACCTTGAGTACTATTAGAGAATATTCTGAGGGGAGAATTAGTATGTGTGTCAGGAATAAAGTGCAGTGTTGGTAAGGTGGCTTGCATTCCTCTGCTTTTCACTAGTTATTAAACATGGAAAACCAATGGGCCCTGTTCAACCGAAACATAGTACTGCGTAAAACTTCTTATACATTTAAACTGTTGTAACCTAAATGCACATACATAGGGCATGCATTTATTTTTCTTCTGATTATTAAGTTTCACTGTAATGTTTGTAAAAACATGGCTGTACAAATGTAGCAAAATGATAAAGAATCATTTTGAATTTTGTTTTGGGTGCTAACTTCAGCCTTCACATTATTGGTCATATCATATTCTTTTTTTTTTTATTTAATCAATGTTAATTAAACATACACAGGGTGTTAGATCTGTATGGAATGCTGAGATGTATTAAACTAAGATGTGTTCTTCAATCTCAGGGCTCCTACTCCTCACATTGTGCTTATAAGTATAGAGACTTCTTAACTCTATTCAAAAATGGAGAAACTGGGTTGGCATTATCTAACACACATCTGTCAAATAGAAATTAAATGAGATCCATGTTTTTTATTTAACTATTCTAGTAGCCATTACAAAAACAGTTAAGGACATAAGTGAAATTAATTCGAATTAATATATTTTGTTAAACTATGTCAAAATGATTTCGATTTCAACCAAATGTAAGTAATAAAAAAATTTTAGTGAGATAGTTAGCATTCCTTTTTTAATACTAAATTTTCAAAATTCAATGCGTATTTTATATTTATAGCACATTTCAATTGGTACTAGCCATGTCTCAATGCTTTATAACCACACGTGGCTACTGTATTGAAAAGTGCAGATTTAAATAACAGTTAACATTGATTTTAGCATTTTTATAATACTTTATCTAGATTTTCTGCAGACAAAAGCCCAAATTTTAATTTTTGACAGGAGCTCTATTCTTAAAAAATATTTTTTATAGAAAGTATTTTCCCAGAGTAATTTAAATTTTTTGTTTATTAGTTTGCCCGATACTAGGAAAGCAAAATTTTACATCTAGTATTTTTAATTACATTGTCATAGGGCTACTCTGTCCTTCAGAAAAACACCATGAAAAGTTTTATGATTTTAATTGACCAAAAGTTCTGTAATTTATTTATTTTAAATATTCATTTATAACAACAAACATGTCAAAAGTTTATTTATAGTTATGTTTTTAACTTGTGAGCTAGTTGCTGAGTTGCTGAATTATTTAGTTATAATCTGTCATCAACCATATTACTAATATGCTATTTTTATTTTAAAACATTTAATAAGGGTGATAATTCTACATTGTGAGCATAATGCATAAATCTTCAATACCTTCTGTAGAATTGATTGACTTAAAAATTTTGTTGAATTAGATACTAAAGAATACTGTTCATACAGTTTTTTAAATGTGGTAAAAGTCATTTTGGGTGAGCATTGACATTCTATAAAACTGAAAAAGGCATAAATTGACAGAGAGATTAAAATAGGTGGGAGTAACCTCTACATTATAGGCTTAATTGTAAGAAATAGCCTAAAAATATATAATTTCATATTCCCTTAGAGCTTCCAGTGTGTGTGCCTTTCTGGCTGGGAACAAAATTTTTGTGAACAAGAATCCAATGAGTGTGAAATGAATCCTTGCAAGAACAATTCCACCTGTACTGACCTTTACAAAAGCTATCGGTGAGTAAAATATTTTTAGTTTTCTTCATGAAATTACTTGGAGTGCTTAATGTCCTTGGAATATATCCAGACGTTATTTTCACTTTAGATACATTTAATTAAAATAACCACCCAGAGATGAAGAGCCATTCACTGACAAGATAGTGTCACAATCATTTTAAATACTGAAGACCAGATGTCAAGACAACAAAATATAAACAGTTTTAACTTGAAAATGCAATATTCAGATATGGTAAAAGATACAAATGCATTTACTTCTTCAAAACATGCTTTTTCCATCTTAATATTGTTTTGTACTTTTCCTTACAGTATAAGAACTAACACACTATCACAAAAAAGGAGTGAGTTCGCTAAATTAAAACTTCCAATTTATTAGTTAGTGATTATTATGGTTTGGATTATTTTAGTATAATTTTAAAAATATTTTACAGTATATATTACCCACATATTCCATAATTCACTTGTATTAATTAGTTCTTTGATGAGAATTCTGAAGAAATTCTGAGAAGATGTTTATGTCTTTTGTCCACTTCTTAATGGAGTTGTTTTCTACTTGTTGAATAAATTCCTTACAGATTCAGTGTATTAGACCTTTGTTGGATGTAGAGGTTTTGAGTATTTTTTCCTATTCTGTCACTTGTCTGTTTACTCTGTTCATAGCTTCCTTTGCTATACAGAAGTTATTTAGTTTAATCTCAACTTGTCAATTTTTGGTTTTGTTGCAATGGTTTTTGAGGACTTAGTCATAAATTATTTTTTTAAAGCTGATGTCCAAAATGGTGTTTTCTGGGTTTTCTTCTAGGATTCTTATAGTCAGAAGTCTTATATTTAAATATTTAATCCATCTTGGATTAATTTTTTGTATGTAGTAAAAGGTAAGGATCCAGTTCCTGTCCTGTGCATATGGATAGCCAATGATCCCAGTTCCCTTTATTGAAGTGTGTCCTTCCCCCACATTGCTTATTTGTGTTGATTTGTCAAATATTAGATGGCTGTCAGTTTTTTGGTTTATTTCTAGGTTTGCTATTCTGTTTTACTGATCCATGTGTCTGTTGTTGTTGTTTTACTAGTACCATGCTGCCATGCTGTTTTGGTTACTGTAGACTTACAGTGTAATTTGAAATTAGATAACATGATGCCTCCAGCTTTTTTTTTTCTTCTCTAAGATTGTGTTGGTTATTCAGCCTCTTTTTTGGTTTCATATACATTTTAGGATAGTTTTTCTCTAATTCTGTGAAAAATGGCATTGGTAGGTTGATAGGTTGAATCGGTGCATTGCTTTGGGCATTATGGCCATTTTAATGATATGGAGTCTTCCAAGCCACGAACACAGCATATTTTTCCATTTGTTTATATCATTACTGATTTATTTTAGCACTTTTTTGGAGTTCTCGGTTAGATGTATTTCTCGGTTTTTGTTGGGGTGTGTGTGAGTGTGCTCTATTGTAAATGGGATTGCATATTGTAAATGGATTCTTGATTTGGCTCTCAGCTTGAATGTTACTGGTGCATAGAAGTGTTACTGATTTTTATAAACTGATTTTGTATTCTGAAACTTTACTGAAATTATTTAACAGTTTCAGGAGTCTTTTGGTGGAGTCTTCAGCATTTTCTAGGTCTGGAATCGTATCATCAGTGAAGAGTGTTAGTTCGACGACTCCTATTTCTATTTTAATGCCTTTAATTTCTTTCTCTTTCCTGATATCTCTGGCTTAGACTTCCTGTAGGAGTTGTGAGACTGGGCTTGTTCCAGCCTTCCAGGGGAATGCTTGTAGATTTTGCCCATTCAGTATTATGTTGGCTGTGAGTTTATCATGCATGGCTCTTATTATTTTGAGATATGTTTCTTAGACCCCTACTCTCTTTAGGGTTTTTAACATGATGTTGAATTTTGTAGAAGAATTTTTCACTTCTATTGGGATCATCATGTGGTTCTTGTTTTTAACCTGTGTATGGGGTGAATCACATTTATTGATTTGTGTATGTTGAAGCAACCTTGTATCCAGAAATGAAGCTTACTCAGTAAATTAACTTTTTCATGTGCTGCCATATTTGGTTTCCTACTATTTTGTGGAAGATTTTTGCATCTGTGATCACAAGGTGTATTGGCCTGTAGTTTTCTTTTGTGTTGTATCTTTGCCAGGTTTTGGTATCTGGACAATACTGGCATCATAGAATGAGTTAGGGAGAAGTTCCTTATTGATTTTTTTGGGAATAGTTACAGTAGAATGGGTACCAGCTCTTCTTTTTACATCTGGTAAAAATTTAGCATGTATTCATCTTGTCTGGGGCTTTATTTTGTTGATAGTTTTTTTTTTTCTGATTCAGTTTCAAAATTTGGCATTTACGGGATTTAAATTTCTTCCTCATTCAATCTTTGGGAGGTTGTGTTTTACCAGTTATTTATCCATTTCTTTTAGCTTTTCTAGTTTATGTGTATGGAGGTATTCATAAGGGCCCCTCAGAATATTTCTACTTCTGTCGGATCAGTTGTAATGTCAACTTTGTCATCTCTGATTGTACTTATTTGAGTCTTCTTTTTTTCTTTGTTAATGTAGCTAGTGGTTTATCTTGTTTATACTTTCAAAAACCCAACTTTTGCTTAAACGGACTCTTTCCATGGATTTTGGGGTCTTAGTTTTGTTCAGTTTTGCTTTGACTTTAGTTATTTTCTTTTGCTAGGTTTGGAATTAGTTTGCTCTTGTGTTTCTGCTTTTCCAAGTATGATATTAGATTATTAATTTGAGATCTTTCTAACATTTTAAGACACATATTTAACAAGTGGCCAATGAACATATGAAAAAATTCTGAATGTCACTAATCATGAGAGAAATGCAAATCAAAAGCACAGTGAAATAATAACTCACACAAATCAGCATTGCTATTTTCAAAATGTTGAAAAAGCAAGAGATTCTCATGAGGCAATAGAGAAAAGAGCATGTTTAAACACTGTTATTCAGAATGTAAATTAGTTCAGCTACTATGGAGAACAGTTTGGAGTTTTCTCAAAAACTCACAACAGAACTGCCATTTCATCCAGCAATCCCATTACTGGGCATATATCCAAAAGAAAATAAATCATTCTACCAAGAAGATACATACACTCATATAGTCATTTCAGCACTACTCACCACAGCAAAGACATAGAACTAACCTAGGTTCCTATCAACATTGAATTGCATAAAGGAAATGTGGTCCATATACACCATGGACTGCTATGCAGCCATAAAGAACAAAATCATGATTTTTGCAGCGACATGGATTCTGCGTGAAGCTATTATCTAGGTGAATTAATATAGAAACAGAAAACCAAATATCACATGTTCTCACTTCTAAGAGGTAGCTAAACCCTGGGTACTCATGGACATAAAGATGGCAATGATAAACACTGGAGACTTCCAAAGAGGAAAGCGGAGGAGGTAAGTACGGATTGAAAACCTGACTGTTGGGTACTATGCTCACTACCTGGTTGGTGGGATCACTTGTACCCCAAACCCCTGCATCATGCAATATATTCATGTAACAGTTGCACATGTACTCCCTGAATCTAAAATAAAACTTGAAGTTATTTTTTTAAAAAAATGATGAAACACACAAAAAAAGAAATTCTCTGTAGTTACTATTATTCCAAAAGCTTAATAACCAAATATATATTGGTAAATAATTTATATGTGTGTGTGGTGGAGTCTCACTCTGTTGCCCAGGCTGGAATGCAGAGGTGTGATCTTGGCTCACTGCAGCCTCCACCTCCTGGGCTCAAGTGATTCTCCTGGCTCAACTTCATAAGTAGCTGGGATTACAGCTGCCTGCCACCATGCCTGGCTAATTTTTGAATTTGTAGTAGAGATGGGGTTTCATCATGTTAGTCAGGCTGGTCTCTAACTCCTAATCTCAAGTGATCTGCCCACCTCGGCCACCCAAATTGCTGGGATTACAGACATAAGCCACCATGCCCATCCCTTGGTAAATAATTTTTAATCCTGTATTTGTTTGGTATACATTGCATCTCTCATGTAGATGGATAATCAAGTATATTATAACTAAATCGTTTGCATGTTCAGAAGGAGATTAATTGCATACAAATGTACTCAGATAACTGTTTTCCAGAGGAAATTGTTAAAATTATTTCAGAATGTCCTCCAAAATAAATCATACATTCTCTTTTGCCTTGTGATTAAGGTTGAGAATTCTGGATTATCTCATGCCTGTAAAACTTTTCAAAATGTTTCTAAATTTTTGCTGATTAAAGTGGGTTATAATGTGCAGACTATTCTGCATTAGACAGTTTGCTTTATTGAAAAGAATTCAGAATAGCTGGCAATAATGGGATAGATACTAGGTGACAAAAAGGAAGATAAATGAATAATTTTGGTAACATAGAAAAACTCACAATGCCAATAGTTAGGATTAGTTAAAAATATAGAAAAATATAAAGAACAAGATATTTTTCGTGACTTTAGCAATAACTAAAGTTGATGTATGAACACAAATTGATATTAATAACCTTTCCAACTGTGTAGTAGGAGAAATAAACTTTTGATAAACCAAAAAATAATCTTCATTGTTAACTATATTTTATTTTTCTTACATCAACTAATTGTAAACTATAATACATAAATTTTCTAGTATTTCTTTCATTGAGACTCATATATCCTTTCTTTAGCATTTAGCTCTTCCTATAATTTCTTAAAATAACTTGGGTATGTGCGAATTGATGTTGTTGGCAGTCACCAAACACCACTGGGAACAGAACTGAGGTTGAAAAAGTTGAGTTTTGGCCAGATGCATTGTCTCAGGCCTGAAATCCCAGCACTTTGGGAGGCCGAGGCAGGCAGATCATGAGGTCAGGAGTTCAATACCAACCTAACCAATGTGATGAAACCCTATCTCTACTAAAAATGCAAAAAAATTAACTGGGTGTGGTGGAACAAGCCTGTAATCCCAGCTACTCAGGAGACTAAGACAGAAGAATCGCTCGAACCCAGGAGGCGGAGGTTGCA